GGCCCGCCCTCGGCGCCCCGAGCCCGGCCGGGTCGGCGCTGCTTCCGGGGACTTACGTTTCTGTTCAGGAACTTGCCCTGGTACCTGTGGTTCCGGTGGAGCAGCTCGGCCGCGCCCTCCTGCTGGCCGTGCACCCAGGTGCCCACGTACTTGCTGCCCGTCTCCGCGTAGAAGTAGGTGCCCTGCCCGTGCCTGCCCGAGACAGCGCGGCGCCTCACCCCGGCAGCCCTCCGGGCTTTGGGCCGGACGTTCGAGCTGGGGGCCGAGGCGGACGCCTCGGGCTCGGGCCAGCCGGGCCCTGCGGGCCGTTCCCTGTGTGCCCACGCCCGGTTTCGCCCTCCTGGGAGCCGGAGCCTGCGGCCTTGGGCTCTCCGCGAAGGACCCCATGTCCTCGGGAGTCCACACCACCTGGGGCGCTCCCGGGAGCGAGCTTCGTGACCCCGAGGGGCGCCCTCGCCCATGCACCCAGCGCCGCCTGCGGGGGGAAAGGCCAAACCTTTGGTGGGCGAACCAGTCCCCAGAGTAGGTGTCGTTGTTGACGTAGTAGTACATGCCCTGGCCGTGCCGCAGGTCGTTCGCCCACTCCCCTGGGGGCACAGGAGGCGGCTGAGAGGCCGTGCTGGGGGCCTGCTCCTCGCCCCCCGCCCCGCCCCCCCTCTGCAGCTGGGTGGGCCCCGGGACACGCCTGGCAGGTGCGTGCAGGGCCCTGCGACCGCGGTGGGGACAGGGGGTGCACCTCGACGGGGGTGGCCCCTGCACAGGGCCAGCCCGACACCACAGCCCCAGGTGGGCTGGCAGAGTCCCCTGGGATCTGATGAGCACAAGGTGGGGACGGGGGGCCGGCTGCTGCCCATGGCCAGGCCCTGGCCCCACTCGCCTCACGTGGGGGCGCCAGCTGCCCTGTCCGAACTTAAGGAGCTGCGCCCCAGGCCTCGGTGCCCAGGAACCGTACCGACCTCTCCTGAGGCGCCGGCAGAGCCGGGAGCCGGCCGCGAGCCGTGCGGGCTGGGCCTGTGTGGCACGACTCACCCAGAGCCGAGCCGGAATCTGGGGGCGCGACCCCATGGAGGGGACCCCGGGGGGAGGTTCCCAGATACCAGTGACCTGGCGGGGAGCCTCCGCGGCGCCCCTATGGCCGGCCCCCCTTCCACAGAGCCACGGGGGCCCTGTGCCGGCAAGCCCGGCCCCCCTTCCTGCCGGCCTCCCAGGCCCGCAGGACCTCGTCCCTTTGTCCCTTTCCTGGGAGGGGCCAGACCCAGCTGACCGCACCCGCCAGAGCGGCATAAAGCTGGCTGCGTGCTCCACGGCTGCACACTCCAGCGACCACTTCACCGAGGGTCCTTCTCGGCCAGCCCGTGGCCCCCGCCCTCCCTGCCGCCTGGATCCAGCGCCTCCTGCCTCACCCCAGGGCAGCCCACCCGTGCCCGCGAGTGGGCGCAGCGGCAACTGGCCTCCACTGCTGGCGCTAACTTCCCGCTCGCGGGACAGCGAGCTAGTCAGGGCCAGTCGGGGCCAGCGTTAAAGGGGGCGAGCATCCAGCGCGCTGGACCTGCGGCAGACGGCCTCGGGCCTCCCGCTGCCCGCGGCCAGCCCCCGCGCCCCCGCGCGGTGGCCAGGGCCGCGCTTCCAGCTGAGTGACGCTTCTCCGACCAGCATTTTAAAAACGAATCTCCGTGTGTTGATCAGAGCTAAAGGACCCCCAAAAGGCTCCTCCGCAGAAAATGGACCTGGCGCAGTGCGAGACGCCCCACCGGCGGCCAGGGCGCAGCGTGGACTCCCTGGGTGTTGTGATATTTGCGGTATTTTTCACTTTCCCTCATTTGGAGTTGTCATTACCAGTGGGAATCCACACGCCCGCGATTTGTTCTTAGCGAGCCACCGCAGGAGCATGTTGCTTCCCGGGCCCTGGGCGCCTCTCGGGGGAAAGGGCTCTGGCGGCCCGCGGGAGCCGCAGCTTCGGTGGCTGCGCCCACTAGGCCCGGTTTCCTGCGCGGGGCCCACGGTGCCCCGGAACCCTGCGCCGGGGGCGCTGCTGGCCAAGGACCGGGCACGCGCTGCGGAAGCGACCCCGCGCTGGGGGCAGCACAGACACAGGGTCCTCCCCGAGAAGGCCGCGGGGTGCACCTCGACGGGGGTGGCCCCTGCACGGGCCAGCCCGACACCACAGCCCCAGGCGGGCTGGCAGAGTCCCCTGGGATCTGTGAGCACAAACGCTCGCCCGAGGGCAACAGAGCACCCGGAGGGCGTCTCCAGGCTCCACACCGCCTGCTGTGGGCGGGGCCGCGGTGTGGGCGGTCCCTGGTGTGGG